AGATGCACATCACTAAATTTGGAGACAAAGCCCCTAGATTGATTGAAGTAGCCGGAAACGAGTGCTCTGAATTCCAAATTATAATGGTAACCCATGTACCCAGGTGCTGGGCCCTGGGTTCTACGCCTCAGGTACTTGAAAAAGCGTTGTGGCCCTGATGCGTGAGACAGACAAAACTTTCACCTTGTGACTTTACACTGAAGTGAGCTTTTGTTCGCTTTTGCATTTTATAGGCTGCAGCTTAAGTCCTGTGTGAACCACAGGTGACGTTGCTGCCAGAAGGGTGTTTTCAATCACATCTATTTGGCTATTCATCGTTTCACGTTGATAGAGGTAGGTTTCTATCTTAGCATTTTGAAACAGAATCATAAGTTGAGCTCATTTATCAACAACATTTTCCTGCGTAACGACCATTAATGTGATTGGGTCACCGTAAATTTAGACAAAAAGTTTGAAATTGAGAGCGCGCTCACAAAACCGTGCAAGAGAAATTATGCTATGCAAAAGAACTAGCGTTCTCCGTCTTTGTAACAAACAAGTAGAGCTTTATAAAAGCATGGAAGGAAGTAATTATGTTCCAGTACTCCAATATGAGCAAGATGACTAAAGAAAATGTAGTTTTCAAACTGGCAGGATAACTTGTTTGACTTTGGACACTAAAAGCATTCATTTGATGTCAGCTTAAAACGTAATTAAGAAGAAGGAGACTTTTTGGAGCACTGAAAGCCTTAGAAACGTGAAATTAATGCTTGAAAATGTCATAAAACCGCACGAACAGTGGACAAAACAACGCCAACGCAATATGTCGTACACTCGAACATGATTTACACACAGGACTGAACATATCAAATAAGTATCTTATACCTTGAAAATCAGTTTGAGGGGAAATAATTTTAACCATATTTTAGGATTTTAAGGGTTGACCAAAATATTCCGATTTGAATCCGCAAAAGGAAATATTTTTGCGCATAAGATTTGCTATTTTAAGTAGGAAAACTCGGGAAGTTCTCTTTCTTGTCGAGCAAGCTACATAAGAATATGGACATTTTCAAAATAGTGCCATAAGATAGCGCGCGCGCAGTGGTACGTAATTCCTAAAGAGCTACTATGGTGGAAATAACGGCCGTGTGTACATAACATGTCGTGTGCAGTTTTACTGACTTTAGCTGCAACTTCCCTTCGAGTTTAGCCGCAAGGTTTCAAATTTTCAGGAATGTCTTTCGGTTCTATTTCAATTGTGATCGACGCTTTGGAGCTCAAAATGAAACGTAAATGGGCTAAATAATACTCGATTCGAAAAACAATGCTTGTGTAGCTCTTTCTAGCGATCAAATTAGCTTTGTGCCTAACTGCGATGGACTTTATGAGCCTTCTGACTCCAAGTGAGACTTTTCAAAGAAGCTGTCGGATCTTCTTTAGGAAGGTAAATATTAATTTTAAACGTTGATATTTCCCAAAAGTGCTGTTCAAAAGAAGATTTTGTTTTAAATCGTACAATTTCAAAATTTTGTTACATAGCTACACAATCTTCCGATCATAAATTTTTTAGTAAACAGCAGAAAAAGCAATCAAGAAGCAAAATTTAAATTGTTCTCGTCTGCGCCTCGAGCATCTCTCGCATCTGTCATGCCTCCCAAAGAGTCTGCAAATTTCCCGCGTGCATCCACAACTCAATACAAGCACACTAAGCATGAACCATTTTCTTATTGCTGCAGATTTGTAAGCTTCCATGCAAAAGATTTCACGTCACGAAAATGAACCCAGTAATCACTTTTAGCCTTGTTGTTTTGTCATGGAACAGTGACCTCCACTGCGTTCTAAAAACCGAGTTCATTGCCAATCGTTAACAGTAGGGAGGCAGAAATTCTTGAAGCAACTGTGAAGTTCAGTACAAAATGTTAGTCTAGATAGAAGCAGATATGTCACGAATTTAAGAAAGTACATGACATCTTTAAAAGACAGGTTTCGACATGAATTTTAGTCCCCTAGAGCTAGGGAAATTGAGTCAATTGAAATTCTCTGCACGAGAGCAGTTAAAAATGCATGACAGCCTTTAGTGGCATTCAATGTCGTTTGTTAAGCAATGGCAAATGAAAAATGAAAATTTCTTATGCTTTTAAAGTTGTCGCGAACTGATAAAGTGAGCCATCTCGGTTTCCATGGACAAAGGCATCAGGCGTCATCTTGACATTTATAAGCTATTTTTAACTCTGCGTATTATTAACTAACAATGTTTCGTTTAGTAAATAGGCGTTGCTTTTGATGACAGATATATTTTAATTTCACAACTTGTGATTGACATTAATTCCGTACAATGATTAAAAAAGTGTTAGCTTCTCATATTTTAAACCAGTTTTCAGAAGAATCAGTAAGAGAGAGAAGACGGTTTTTATAATCTGTTCGCTTACCCGAATCTGCTAACCTGAAGTGAGAAACCTATTTTTACGACCCGCCACAGAAGTAAGTTTCCAATAACGTTTTTCTTGAGTTTTGCTACGAGATTAAGACTTAATTTGCGTTTTTCTGATTTGGAATAATAAATGTATTTCTCTCAGATCGAATAATTATTAAAGCTTGGATAAGATTATACGGTTTGTGGTGGTCGTTTGAGCTGACCAGTTCCGAGCAAGGAAACAAACAATGCAATGGAAATTACCGAAGGAGAAAATTACAACCTGAGGATTGGAGACATGGTTGACAAAAATATTCGAATTTGATTTCGGACACGAAAACTGGAGATATTTCCCCGTGTCATGCACATATGGCGACTTATGTCACTTCTTAGAGCAAGTTCTCATAAATGTTAAATAACAACTAGATATTAAGAATGTTCAACACGACGACAATCCATGCGTATCACATTTGCTAATTAATGGGAAAACATCAAAACTCGGGCTGTTTGTTTGTGTGTACAGTCCAAAAAAATGTTGTTGTCAGTTAAACATTGCTGCGATTTTAAATCTTTTACGTCAACTAAGAATTGTAGATTATCAGTCTTGCGAAAGTGTAGACATTGGATCCAAAATTCCTGATCAAAAGCCCCAAAATTGCTTTCCCTGGGAGTCAAAATATGCAAATATACGCGGAACTTATGAGCCCTAACCTCCGTGAGTACAAAAGAAAAGAGAAAAGTTTGCATTATTTGAGGAATTATGGCTTCAATCCAACCTAAATACACCATATTGCCAAAAACTCATATCTATGACGCATTTGCTTCCCTTTTGTGATCGTTTCATGAGTTTTCTGCGAATTTTTAAGATCGTGTGTTCACAAGTTTATTTGCTCAACTCTTGGTTGTTTACAGTTAATGACAAACTTCACTTCCTGTGGCCACAAAAATGTAGATTATTCAAATTGTAAATGTGAGGTAAACCTTTTTTTTTTTTTTTTTCAAGATCATGTTTATCAGTTTCCTAGGGGAGGGGTTGGTCGCCTTTCCATTCAAATACTGGATAATAGTCTTAAAAACAGCCCGCTGATCCACCGTGGATTTTCCATTCATTATTTTATACTTTCAAACCATTTGTTGTTTGTCTTCTACGGATACTCTTCGTGTTACTGTTTAAAAAAAGAAAAAAATAATAAAAAGGCACTCTTGTGTAACCTCACTCGATTCTTCTTTGCCGAATATATTATAAAGCTGGAGCATTTTCCAAGAATGAATGTTGTCTACTTTGTTAGAGCTTGGTACCAGAATAATCCGAGTTGAGAATCTTATCGATCAAAAATTGAAGCTTTTGTAGTGATATTGAAACCCATGGCTTTCTCCTGCAAACTAACATGAATTTAGGAAGGTGATGACATCATCCCCCTCCTTCTCGCCTGGGAGAATGGACTGGTTGTGTCTTAGAGGGTTTGTTGATGAACCTGACCATTAAATGAACCTTTTGCTAATAAATGGGGTAAGTTTCTAATGGAACTGCGGTGCTGCGTCGGTGGGGATAACAAGTTTACATTACCAAAGTTGACATTACGAATTTACTTTTGCTAATAATTTTCAGATGAAAATGTTTTAGACAAATTGATCCCCGTCTTTTATGTATGCAAGTAGCTTGAAGACTTACCACACAGCAAACAATAGCATTCTGTACAATGATTTCCAATTTGTTTTTGCAGTAGTAGCCATATGTAGTCTTTGCCATCCTATGCTTCATTTTCCATGTTGTTTTGTCGAACTCGAGTTAATAATTTTCTGCGTTGTTATGTGTTACGAGAATTTTTCATAATGAAATTATACAGTAGACTTTCCCTTAAATCTGGGCCAATCAAAACTCACAGAATTTTCCGCCTGCATTACCTTTAAGGCATAGAAACCTTGGAGTTATCGACCAGACATGGCAGTTTATTCAACTGCTGTGATGTGGGAAATTATCTTTCTGTTGTTTGTAAAGTGCATCACACCAACTTGTGCTAGTGGCACAAATATCGGTGGTGAGATAGTCGTCGACACAAACCTAACACTGAATGGAACCCCCTATGTGGTGACTCAGGACCTCATTGTAGCCGAGAACGCAACTCTCAGCATTCAACCAGGAGTACACTTGGACTTTGATGTTGCAGTTTCCTTGAAAGTTAAAGGTTCTGTGGTAGCAAAAGGGGATCTCCTTCAACGAATTGTTTTTACCATGAACCCGACAAATAATTCAGTAAACAGTTCCTATACCACACCGTTGAACTTACACTATAACGAACGAATTCGGCTCCGTGATGGGAGCAGTCCTCAAGATGGGCGCTTGGAGATTTTCGTGAATGGACAATGGGGAACTGTATGCGATGATAGGTGGGACATCAGCGATACTCAGGTAAATTTAATGGACATTGCTCTATCTTCTTATTGAAGAGGACATGGAAATGGAATTAAGATCATCTTCTATTTTGCCATAGGCAAATTATAATCGCAAAAAAATTTTATGGCACTGAATGGAACTTCAGTAAACAGAATTTAACCTGGTACTAGCTCACAAACAGTAAAGGCCACTAGTTCGCACAAAGAAAAAAAATGAGCCATTTTCACCGGCTTGCAGTCTCACTTTCAAACGTTCGACAACACATGAAAGAGAGCTATCCCTACCAGAACCGTTCAAATAGAAACACTGATAAATTAATTCGCTTGCATACGATTTATGGTCCGCCGTGCATCACCTTTAAACGTTCGTCTCTTTTTTACGAGCATAGGTCGCCTGCAGGCATATGGGTTTCAAAGAGGCCAAAAGATTCTACACGTTCGGTTGGGGAGATGGGCCTATCTGGTTAGATGATGTCGACTGTCATGGTCACGAAATGAGTTTGCTTCATTGCCGACATCGAGGAATTGGATCTCATAATTGTGGTAGGTATTCGATATACAACCAAAAAACTAAAACGATCTCATGATAATCTATTGAAGTAAGAATCCCTGTCAAAATATTTACTCACTGAATAGGTCATGGTGAGGATGTTGGAATTGAGTGCCAAATACAGGAATTGAGTGTCAAATATCCTCTTTGGAACGGGATTGAGTTCATTGGTTCAAAGAAGTTCCGAGTGATAAAGTACGTGGACATCTCTCAAGCTCATAAAGCAATAAGCGGTAATGGATTTCTCCCACATCTCGATTATGTGACTGTCAAAAGATCTCTGTATGGAGTGATGACCATAAATGGGAGTTATCCGCTGGCCATAAGTAATAGCAGTTTTAAAGATAATTTATTCGCTGCTATCAATCTGAAGAGTCACTCTGGGAATGTTACAGTAGAGAACACCGTGATGGAAAATGCAACGTTAGGGTTTCAATACTCCGGAATTGCCTCAGATTCAGTAGACGTTGATTGTTCATTTCAAGGTAAGGATATACATAAATCAGTCTAGATAAAATTAGGAATTGGACGACATAAATTCCAAGTCAACAAACCACATACGAGTTATCATGAACTTTGCGTTAGCTAAAAAAACTTCTTTGATAAGTTCTTATCTTAAAAACATGGTCAAGGACTGCAGATCCAGTCTGTTTCCGTCTTTTGGCTCAAATCTCAACCAAAAGTACGTGTGCTATAACCCATATGCAGAAAACATTAAGATAAGGCAGCCCCAGATTTGAGGAGCAGAGATATTCTTCCATGGTAAATTTAATTAAAAGTGATTCCAATGTATAACAAAATACCCTTGTGTTCTATAACACCCAGTAATCAAAACGTAAATTAAGATGGGACAACTAGGAAGTCTTTGTCGGGTTAGGTTAATAGAGATTGTTTCGCTTGAAAATTCTGCATATGTTCAGCGATGAATTCCTTTCTGAGAAAATCAATAATTGCTTCTTTCTTATTTTTTGTGAAGCACAACTCTCTTTTGCGATTTGAAAACCGCGTCCAATGGCAGTTTTAACTTTGTCGATTGAAGCAATTTCTTGACGCAATTATTAAGTTCATTGCGGCGAAATATAGGTACCTGAAGCAAAAGGAATTGAGTCAATTTAATTTTCGACAACTGTAAACAATCCATTGAAGAGGTGGAAATTATACTGTGCTAAGTTTTCAAAATGTTGGTTAAGGATGATTAGAACTAAACCAGGACAGAAATTGATGGTTTATTATGAATCCATTGATGGATCGAACTTTGAACTCTAAGTACGTGATGGAAACACAACAAATAAGGTTTTGATAGAATGATGGTGATTCAGATGCCAAAGAAATATGATTTTAATTAAGGGTTACAAAGGGGAAATCCAAAGGGATGGGCTAGTGATCGATCCAAACCCCCCTCTTTCCCGAACCTGTAGAACCTATGGATATTCACTTCTTGTCTGACAATGACAGTTTTTCAATGCAAGGGTCCCATATTACTATTCAACCGGCTGATGCTTCTGAGATGATATTCGCGTGAGTGTGAAACACTCTAAAACAAATACCCAGAGGTGTGCAAAGGGATACCCTCTGATGTCTTGCCGTTACTTGCTCTTGCAGAGCCGAAAAATTCACGGGCGTTAAAATAAATAAACTTAAGCTCGTCTCTACGTGCTGAAACAGGTCTGCCAAATGACGTATAGAGTGTAACGGAGAGTAATGGGAGAGGGGAGGGGGGTGAGGGTGAAGGCGTTGGCTGATAGAAAAGTTAGCCAGTTGATATTTGTGTGCTTCCCCTGTAAAAAATTTCCTGGATCAGTCTCGGTATCATCACGTGGTGTCCCCCTACTCTACCAAAGCAGGACTGTGTTTCCTAGTACATTCGTAATGTAACATCTGTTGATTTTCTCACAGGAATTGGGTGTTTCTGACCAAGAAGCAAAATCATCTATTACATTTTTTTCGTGTTATTGTTACTCTCTGTTTGCGGCTCCGGTTGATGAATATCGCCCAAGCTTTTGGTGACATCTTATATTAGGGACCTTTAGCACTGACGACGAGAACGTGGACGACGACGGATATGACRGATTTAGGCCTGGGACGGGACCGTCGTCCACGGCGGGAAACATAAACACTTTAGCACATCGGTTACGTGGACGAGTCCTTTACTGCTAATTTGAAAATGCAAAAATTATCCACTAAAACAATTCAACTTTTTTTCAGTGTTGTAATCAACGTCAAGTGATTCAGAGCTAAGTTTACATACACAGTCGATCCGAGCGGTTCGGATATTTTTCAAAGCCCAGAAATCTTCTTAAAAATGCCAGCTGGCATAAATTACAAAACTCTAACGAAATATCCGCGATTTATATTTATAAAAGCATTTATAAGGCTACGTACATACCCTACAGCACTTTTATCATCATCCGCCATTGCTTTCTCCGCTATAAACTGTAAAGCTCAATCTGCAACTCGAAGGAAATAAAGTTTTTTCCATCACGGTACGATCAAATTACTTTCGGCACTGCTTTTATTCCCCAACCGACTCTTTAGATTTTAAGAAATCCCTAAGATAGGTAAGTAGAAATTAGAAAACAAATAAAACATACTCACGTTCTCGTCAAGACGGCAAATGGCGGCAAATGGCGTTTTGAACGAGATGTAGAAGACGACTCGTGCTCGATTAAGCATGCGTGGTAGCATTGAAATTCGTTTTCCCAACTTCCGGTCGGTCACATTCACGTTCTCGTCGTCACTGTTAAAGGTCCCTACTAGGTGCTAAGCGACTAGCAAGATACACAATTGTGTATAACTGTCGGGTTGAAAACTGTGCCTGTGGTGTTTATATTCAAATGTTGTGGCTTTTGTACGTTTTCATAATTCTAATAATTAATATTATGGTTTTTACTCTGTTTTGGGCAAATCTTAAGCTGCATTCATTTACAAATCTCACAGTTATTGGCTTTTAAGTTGATACATTTTTTCAAAAGCACGTCAAGGATCTGAAAAGTTGAAAGGTCACTGAATCAGAGTCGTTTCTATTTTCAGATTGTTGCTCCCTGGTAGTACTCAATTGTTCATTTAGTAATAACAGGGTAAGTGGCATATCTTTAAAAGATTTCGCAGGAAAGGTAGACATTTTTAGGACCATCTTCTCTAAAAATGGAATGGATGGTATGACAGTTGAACGGACCTCTGGTAAAATAACGGTGGTTGGCTCTCAGTTTATTAATAACAGCTTCAATGGTCTTCGCTTCTCGAACAGTAGCTTTCTGCCGTGTAACGGGTACAATGGATCGAATATCCAGCGGATGGCTTTCAAAGGTAAAATTTCTGATTCAGAGTTCATTGAAAATGGTTACAACGGACTTGAGTTCACTAATGGCGCTGGCGAAGTTGTTATACAAAACATTACTGCAATTTTAAATAATCAAAGTGGTGTAAGGGCTTACGGTGGTAGGATCTCCACTGAATTTAAATTTTGCGAGTTTTCAAGAAACCAAGAAGATGGATGCTACATTGCCAACCAGGCAGGATCTCACCAATTTTACAACTGCTCGGCAAGTTCAAATTTGAGATTTGGAATGAGCGTATCAGATCCAAGTTATTACTCTTCACCAAGTTATTACTCTTCACCAAGTTATTATTTCGAGAAATTTATTTTAAAGGATAGCACCATCCAAAACAATGCACTTTTCGGAATCAAATTAACCTTTGGGGGAAAAATTCGGAACGAGTATGAAGACAATTCTACAATGGTGATTAACAGGAATTCATTTGTTGGAAACAAGGGAGGAGGCATCGTTTTGTCGCCCAACTCGCACAGGTGGTATTGGTGGTGGCATTGGAACTACCCAAGAACGATTAATTTTGTTGTGAAGAATAATCTTTTTGAACAAAACAAAGTTAACTCAATTTATGTTAACTGTTTCGGTTTTCTTGGTTCAAATTCGTCGTTAGAATCAAACACATTCCTAAACAATAGTGACGGTGTGGTGACGTTCTTACCTAATAACTATTGTGAACCTGATCGCAAAGGTAACCCCATCATCATGACAATCGACAGAAATACATTCACCAAAAATCGTGCTGAAAATTTGATATATATCGACTTCAAACTATACCCTGAGACACGCTCAGCCTCTATAAGAAATAATACGTTTAATGACAACGCGCCTCCTTCGAAAGAACATTTTCCAAACTTTTTCCGTCGGCTAACAAGTCGTGCAGTGATTGTTCTTAAGGAAGGAAATTTTACGGTACAAGATAACATCTTTGAAAACCCCGACTTCACATTTCAGATCTCTTCATTGCTTCATGATCACCATCGAATTGTTGATACAGAAATGAACTGGTGGGGAACCGCTGATGGATGCAAAATTATGGACAGAGTGTTTGATTTTCAACACAATTCCCAGTTATCCCAATTTCGATTCTTCCCATATTACACCTCCTCGGACAAAAGTGCCGTGACTACTTCAAGACCATACTGTTTCCTTAGAGGTTCCAGCATCGGTGGAAGCCTAGACAGTCTGCTGACCTTGTCAAANCCGAATATATTATAAAGCTGGAGCATTTTCCAAGAATGAATGTTGTCTACTTTGTTAGGGCTTGGTACCAGAATAATCCGAGTTGAGAATCTTATCGATCAAAAATTGAAGCTTTTGTAGTGATATTGAAACCCATGGCTTTCTCCTGCAAACTAGTATGAATTTAGGAAGGTGATGACATCATCCCCATCCTTCTCGCCTGGGAGAATGGACTAGTTGTGTCTTAGAGGGTTTGTGGATGGACCTGTCCATTAAATGAACCTTTTGCTAATAAAAGGGGTAAGTTTCTAAGGGAACTGCGGTGCTGCGTCGGTGGGGATAACAAGTTTACATTACCAAAGTTGACATTACGAATTTACTTTTGCTAATAATTTTCAGATGAAAATGTTTTAGACAAATTGATCCCCGTCTTTTATGTATGCAAGTAGCTTGAAGACTTACCACACAGCAAACAATAGCATTCTGTACAATGATTTCCAATTTGTTTTTGCAGTAGTAGCCATATGTAGTCTTTGCCATCCTATGCTTCATTTTCCATGTTGTTTTGTCGAACTCGAGTTAATAATTTTCTGCGCTGTTATGTGTTACGAGAATTTTTCATAATGAAATTATACAGCAGACTTTCCCTTAAATCTGGGCCAATCAAAACTCACAGAATTTTCCGCCTGCATTACCTTTAAGGCATAGAAACCTTGGAGTTATCGACCAGACATGGCAGTTTATTCAACTGCTGTGATGTGGGAAATTATCTTTCTGTTGTTTGTAAAGTGTATCACACTAACTTGTGCCAGTGGCACAAATATCGGTGGTGAGATAGTCGTCGACACAAACCTAACACTGAATGGAACCCCCTATGTGGTGACTCAGGACCTCATTGTAGCCGAGAACGCTACTCTCAGCATTCAACCAGGAGTACAGTTGCACTTTGATGTTGCAGTTTCCTTGAAAGTTAAAGGTTCTCTGGTAGCAAAAGGGGATGTCCTTCAACGAATTGTTTTTACCATGAACCCGACAAATAATTCAGTAAACAGTTCCTATACCACACCGTTGAACTTACCCTATAACGAACGAATTCGGCTCCGTGATGGGAGCAGTCATCAAGATGGGCGATTGGAGATTTTCATGAATGGACAATGGGGAACTGTATGCGATGATAGGTGGGACATCAGCGATACTCAGGTAAATTTAATGGACATTGCTCTATCTTCTTATTGAAGAGGACATGGAAATGGAATTAAGATCATCTTCTATTTTGCCAAAGGCAAATTATAATCGCTAAAATATTTTATGGCACTGAATGGAACTTCAGTAAACAGAATTTAACCTGGTACTAGCTCAAAAACAGTAAAGGCCACTAGTTCGCAAAAAGAAAAAAAATGAGCCATTTTCTGCGGCTTGCAGTCTCACTTTCAAACGTTCGACAACACATGAAAGAGAGCTATCCCTACCAGAACCGTTCAAATAGAAACACTGATAAATTAATTCTCTTGCATACGATTTATGGTCCGCCGTGCATCACCTTTAAACGCTCGTCTCTTTTTTACGATCATAGGTCGCCTGCAGGCATGTGGGTTTCAAAGAGGCCAAAAGATTCTACACGTTCGGTGGGGGAGATGGGCCTATCTGGTTAGATGATGTCGACTGTTATGGTCGTGAGATGAGTTTGCTTCATTGCCGACATCGAGGAATTGGATCTCATAATTGTGGTAGGTATTCGATATACAACCAAAAAACTAAAACGATCTCATGATAATCTATTGAAGTAAGAATCACTGTCAAAATATTTACTCACTGAATAGGTCATGGTGAGGATGTTGGAATTGAGTGCCAAATACAGGAATTGAGTGCCAAATATCCTCTTTGGAACGGGATTGAGTTCATTGGTTCAAAGAAGTTCCGAGTGATAAAGTACGTGGACATCTCTCAAGCTCGTAAAGCAATAAGCGGTGATGGATTTCTCCCACATCTCGATCATGTGATTGTCAAAAGATCTCTGTATGGGGTGATGACCATAAATGGGAGTTATCCGCTGACCATAAGTAATAGCAGTATTAAAGATAATTTTTTCGCTGCTATCTATCTGGAGAGTCACTCTGGGAATGTTACAATAAAGAACACCGCGATAGAAAATACAACGTTCGGGTTTCAGTACTCTGGAATTACCTTTGATTCAGTGGATGTTTGTTCATTTCGAGGTAAGGATATACAGAAATCGGTCTAGATAAAATTAGGAATTGGTCGACATAAGTTCGAAGTCAACAAACCATATACGAGTTATCATGAACTTTTGCATTGGCTAAAAAAGACATCTTTGATAAGTTCTTGTCTTGAAACATGGTCAAGGACAGTAAATCTGGTCTGTTCTCTTCTTTTGGCTCAAATCTCTACCGAAAGTTTACGCGTGTTAGAACCCATCTCCAGAAAACATTAAAGATAACGCAACCCCAGATTTGGGGAGCTGAGATTTCATTGTTCCATGGTAAATTTAATTTAATTTCTGATTCCAATGTGTAGCAAAATACACTTGTGTTCTATTACACCCAGCAATCAGAATATAAATTAACGTGGGACAACTAGGTAGTCTATGTCAGGTTAGGTTAACACAGATTTTTTCGCTTCAAAGTTCTACATATGTTCAGCGAAGCACTCGTTTTGGACAAAATCAATACTAGCTTCTTTGTCCTTTTTTTGTAAAGCAGAACTCTCTTTTGAGGTTTGAAAACCGCGTCCAATGGCAGTTTTAACATTGTAAATTAAAGCAATTCAGTTTGAGACAATTCTGATTAAGTTCATTGCGGCGAAATATTGGTACCCTAAAGTAAGTGGAATTGAGTCAATTCAATTTCCTTACGACAACTGTAAAACAATCCAGTAGAGAATTGGAAGCTATGCTATGCTAAGTTTTCGAAATGTTGCTTAAAGATAGTTAGAACTTACCCAGGACAGAAATTTATGGTTTATTATGAAACCATTGGTGGTTCGAACTTTGAACTTCAAGTACGTGATGGAAACACAACAAAAGCCCCAAAAATTTCGTTTGTGAACCAACGGACAGGTGTTGTCCCACCATCTTTGAACTCTGGTCACGGACTCTTCTCACAGGACTTGAGTGTTTCTCACCAAAAAGCGAAATCTACTACTACATTTTGTTCGTGTTATTTTTACTCTTTGTTTGCGGCTCCGGTTGATGAATATCGCCGAATCTTTTGGTGATATGTTGTATAAGGTGCTAAGGGACTTGCAAGAAACTTTGTGTATAACTGTCGAGTTTAAAACTGTGCCTATGATGTTTATATTCAAATGTTGTGGTTTTTCAGGTTTTCATATGTCTAATAATTATGGTTTTCACTCTGATTCGGGCAAATTTTAAGCTGCACCCATTTAAAAATCTCACAGTTATTGGTTTTTGAGTTAATAAATTTTTTTCCAAAAGTACGTCAAGGATTTTAAAGGTTGAAAGGTAACTGTATCACGGCCCTTTCTCTTTTCAGATTGTTGCTCCCTGGTAGTGCTCAATTGTTCATTGAGTGATAACAGGATAAATGCCATATCTTTGAAAGATTTCGTAGGAAAGGTAGAAATTTCTAAGACCATCTTCTCTGGAAATGGAATGGATGGTTTGACGGTTGAACGGATCTATGGTAGAATAACGGTGGTTGGCTCTCATTTTATTAACAACAACGCCAGCGGTCTTCGCTTCTGGGACAGTAGCTTTCTGCCGTGTAAAAATCGGAACGAGTATGAAGTCAATTCTACTATGGTGGTAAACAGAAACTCCTTTGTTGGAAACAAAGGAGGAGGTATCGTTTTGTCGCCAAATTCGCACAGGTGGTATTGGTGGTGGCGATGGAACTACCCAAGAACAATTGATTTTGTTGTGAAGAATAATCTTTTTGAACAAAACAAAGTTAACTCAATTTATGTTAACTGTTTCGGTTTTCTTGGTTCAAATTCGTCGTTAGAATCAAACACATTCTTAAACAATAGTGACGGTGTGGTGACGTTCTTACCTAATAACTATTGCGAACCTGATCGCAAAGGTAACCCTGTTATCGTGACAATCGACAGAAATACATTCACCAAAAATCGTGCTGAAAATCTGATATATATCGACTTCAAAATATACCCTGAGCCACGCTCAGCCTCTATAAGAAATAATACGTTTAATGACAACGAGCCTCCTACGAAAGAACATTTTCCAAACTTTTTCCGTCGGCTAACAAGTCGTGCAGTGATTGTTCTTAAGGAAGGAAATTTTACAGTACAAGAGAACATCTTTGAAAACCCCGACTTCACATTTCAGATTTCTTCATTGCTTCGGGATCACCATCGAATTGTTGATGCAGAAATGAACTGGTGGGGAACCGCTGATGGATGCAAAATTATGGACAGAGTGTTTGATTTTCAACACAATTCCCAGTTATCCCAATTTCGATTCTTCCCATATTACACCTCATAGGCCAAAAGTCCCGTGACTACTTCAAGACCATACTGTTTCCTTAGAGGTTCCAGCATCGGTGGAAGCCTAGACAGTCTGCTGACCTTGTCAAACGCTGACTCACCTTACGACGTCCGACAAGACGTTGTTATCCTGACCAACGGTACTTTGCTCATACCTAAAAATGTCACGTTAAGGTTTTCTCCCAGGTCAGTGATGGTGGTGAAAGGAACGCTCATTGTCAATGGGACTGAAAATGAAAAAGTTAGATTTTCGACAAAGCCATACCAAGAGGAATTCCGTTTGGCTGGAGGCGCTGGTCCTTGGGAGGGCAGAGTGGAATTTCTGGTAGATAACACCTGGTCGCCAGTGTGCGTTTCTTACAACAGATCGTTTATCTCAGAATCAAAAGTTATTTGCCAGAAACTCAACCTCTATTATCAGACTTATTGGCTTCACACTCCTACTGAACAAGGCACTGGCTTTGTGCATAACGTCATCTGCGATGAGAACATTGACAATGATATCGTCAATTGCAGCGCTAACACTTGGAGTTATAGACCTACCTGTACAGGTTATACTGTACACGTGACTTGTCAACAGTACAACTGGGCTGGGCTTCACCTAGCAATGACCAGTCATCAAAGCAGCTTACTTTACCTGGAAATCTTAGATGCTGGGTTCGCATATCGCAGTGACATCCAAATTTCCGGTGCAGCTCTGACAATCGACCTTAATCATCATAACATAACTAACGTTTTAATGAATAACTCTTTTGGAATTGGTGTTCAAGTGGTATACCAGACATTACTTCATTACAAGTCGTTGATGCCACAATCTACAATATCATATACAAAGTCACACGGTGTTCTCTCATACTCTCCGTCCCTCATTCTCACAGACATAAATATCACAAGAAACGATGGGAATGGTTTCTTTTTCAAAAGCGCAACACGTTCTTTGGATACAATACACACGTTTACAACTGAAATGGCCAGTCGAGACATAAAAAAAACTCTTTACATCTGCTCCCGCAACAAAACGTTTGTACCCCCTAAAAAAGTATTTTATTTTGGTCTAGAAACACTGGAACATAGCCTTCAGTTCAGATGTCAACATGTCGTGGAAACAGAGCCAGGGTATATAATAGTTATTCAGCAGCTTTACAGGTCATCATATCTAAACGATTACGATATGTTCCTGCACGTGTATAACGGCGTAAATATGTCACTTGGGACGCCATTTAGGATGGGATCATCATCCGCGGAGAATCGACTTGTTTTCACCTCTGTGAATTCTTCGATTTTTTTTTATTTTTTCAAGCGCTCTGGCATCAGTGAAGTCATCAACTTCTTGGTGTATACAGTGAAAGGTTTGTTTCTTTTTAGAACCAGCTCCTATTTCCATGATATATTAACTACGATTGGCAGTGATGTCGTCATGTGACTGGCCAATTTATCGTTGTCGACAAGAGTACAGACAACGCTACTCGCGTTAGCGTGTCATGGAATGTATTTGTCAGCTCTTAAACATAAATGACTCGGAAATTCTGACGTCGTTAATGCAGTAAAATACAAATAAACAGTGGTTGAGCGGGGTCTGTCAAAAACTTTTGCGGTTTCACTCGGCTGCGCCTCGTGAGACCAACAACATTTTGACCGTTGTGATGACAGTACAGACCACGCTAAACCACATCTAACATCGGTTTGTTTTTTGCCAAGTCATTTCTGTTTGAATGAAAATACTATCTTTATTGTTTGAAGCTGGGGCAGATCCTTGAAAAAAAGTTAACAAAGGAACCATAGGTGATAGGTTCTGATGTTTATTGGGCAAGCCTCGTCAATTCAACCCAGAGAGGTTTTCTTTCTTGCTTTCTTTTCATTTTGATTAAGGAATCAATCATGAAACAAATAAGAGGAACAATTAAACTCAAAGTATCGGAGAGAATACACAATCAGGATGAAGCAGTAGTAATTAATATTAATTTTGCTGTTTTTAGGAGACTAAAACAGTTGTAATTTTTTATCGTTTTCCGCAGAAAGTCAAACCTTTATGTACTTCGGAGGAGAAATCAAAATAGCTCGAGCTAACATAGCCAATAGCCTTCAGTCAGGTATTCTGATTGAAGTGATCTCTCAGAATGTTACCGTGCGAGACTGTGTGGTTACCGGATCATTATATCATGGCATATATATCTCCACACATTATAGATATTAGTGGTCAGCCCATGGCATTGTTAGGATTTCAAACTCGAGTATTACAGCAAATCATCAACGCGGCCTCTATATCCTGGACTACTCATTCGGGAATGACTTAAACATTTTACTGACTGGTAACTTGATCTCTTCAAACATCAGAGGAGGAGTTTTGTATTACGCCTCTTATTGGTATTACTCTTATTATTGGTACCTAAACACTCCCTCACTAGAGATCAAATCAAACCGTTTTATGCGTAACAAGGGATCCACCGTTGAAATTCAAAGTCACAATTACTACCGTAATCAAGTGATTACAATTGTTGATAACTCATTCGAGGAGAACTTGGGCTTTTCTGTTATCTTGACGACCAACGATTGGTGATCAACCTTACTAATTCATCGTAATTTGTTCTTGTCAAATCGTATCCCGCATAATGCAGTGATTGTTATTGGTAGGTACACATGCCTAAGTACTCTTGACATTAGAAACAACATCTTCACCCTGAATTCTGAACGTTGTCTACTGCTTGAAGGGACGGTATCCAATAGTCAACTTACTGTTACAAATAACTCGTTTCGTGAGAATTACTGTAAAGATAATAGTGTTATAGCAATACTTCAAGTGCACGGATACACCACGATTGAAATGAATATCTTTACAAAAAACAGAGCAAACAGTGTAGCTCTGCTTCAGGTGATGCCGGATATCCATTCATCATTTGACAGGACAATTCTTGCATTCAAGAACAACACCTTATACGATAACTTACCTAACTCTGAAACGCAATATGAAAACGCAAGGGATTCTTGTGGTTTTGTTCTCAGTGGTATGCCTTGGCCCTACGAAACAGAGTTTTACTTTAACAGGTTTAATAATACTCAGTACCTGAGGGAACTTTGCGTTAGAGCATTTGCCACTTCTGAGCGCGACGTTGTGAATGTGACATACAATTGGTGGGGAGGAGACAGTAATAGCGAAGTGCATCAAAGGATATCGGACTATGATGAAATTTATGACTTTGCTGTTGCGATTATATGGCCAATTCTTATGTTTAATGCTGAGAACCTAATTTCTCTCCACCAGCACGATTTACCACAAAAAAGTAACATTCTCTCAGGGCGACTGTTTGAGTCCCTGACACTTATACCCTCACAAAGCCCTTACTTCGTAGCTTCAGACTTTATCGTCACGGAAAACGTTACCCTCACCATAGAAGCTGGAGTTACCGTCAAAGTAAACCCTAGAAAGAGTATACTTGTCGCTGGAGCACTGCATGCATTAGGAACGTTTACCAAACCAGTAATATTTACAGTTAAGGAGCCCACAGAAGAAAGGAACAAGTCACATTTTCCTGTACGTCTTGTGGATGGCGATTTTCCTTGGAAGGGAAGAGCTGAAGTATTTTATGACAACTCATGGAAGCCAATATCTGTTTCAAATATCTTGGTGATCAGAAACATCACAAGTCTGCTCTGCCGTCAGTTGGGATATGTTCCAAGTGTTGTTGCCGAAGGAAAGTCCGATGATATTGGTCAGGATACGAAAGGACCGTGGATGGTAGAAGTCGGCTGCTATGGAAACGAAACAGCGCTTCAAGAATGTTCACTTTATCTGATAGCGCCAAACAAAACCACCGCCTTGCCAGTTGTAAAATGTGAGGGCGTACCCTGGGGAAATGTACGATTTGTGCCACCCAGAGATGAGAACACCTCCAACTTGCAGTCCGTGTTAAATCACGTTCAATTTTCTCAATGTGGCAATCGCCATGGAGCTGCTGTACCAGCCATTGAAATCGTGAAGAGTGCGCCCAAAATAAAGTTTGTTACGGTGAAAAACTGCACATCCGGTGGCTTACGAGTCCTCTCTCCAACAACTGATATTCATCTCAATCACAGTACATTTATTAACACAGGAGGTACCGGGATAAGCTTTATAAAGACACATCGGAGCATCTTGCTTGACAATTTAGAGTCGAGCAAGAACTTGCTAGGTGTTTCTTTTGAGCAACCAAATGGTGAAAATATCCCTCGCGTCTACTATGGCCGATAATCTGTTTGCGGTGTTGAAAAAACGGTTTTAATAAAGAAATTAACGTATTTCTATTTTGATACTTTAAAAGTGAAAGATGCATCGGTGTCGATAACTTGTCAAAAAGTTTTGACTGTCTCAAAAGATCAAGGGATCAAAGTTACTGTATTACATACTACAGGAACGCATCGAGTGAGGATTTACGATTCTGGGAGCTTTGGCAATTTAATCGTAGATAAATCATATGGAAGCCTGAACGCGTATGTAGATAAAGATTTGTTTATACTGCGTGACACAATTTTACTACAGTGGATTGGTGACACTAATTCTGAAATTGTCATTCAGGTGGAAGACATAAATGTTGTTGGTGAGTACATATATGTTATTCACCAGCCGGGAGGTCCGTATTAGGAAAAACTGTGCCTGAGGTCTTGGATAGCCCCCGGGGGCGTAGGCCGAGGACGGTACTCAGGAGTGAGGGCGTAGTTTTTCCCAATACGGATCGACCTATGCTGGTAAAAAAAAAAAATTTATTTTTCTCTTACACTTTACAAAATTATTGCCAAAAGAACCCGAATGATTTAGAGCTACAATTACGAGTTTAAATACGAGAAAATCCTCCATAAGCATAAGAATTTTTTAGCGAGTGGATGATAAAGAAAACAGGCGTTATTCAAATTGAAGAAAGAGCTTTCACCGCAAAATGTTTATTTTTAAAGGTAACTTAAAAGGCTTTCGAGTAAACTTTGAAACATATTTTTATAACTATTTGTCACGATATGGCACCTGTCAATCGAAGAAGAAAAAAGCGCGTGTACGCTTTTGAATAAACAACAGTACTGGTATGACAAACACACACGAGTCAAATGACCATGTGACGATCCTCTCGTAAAAAAAAAAAACAGTCAGAGATCGTACGGAAAGCATTTAACTCTGTTCCGTTTTCAAACGTCACGGAAAGTCGAATTTTAAGTGAATGCAAATGTGTGTTATGGAGTTGTCAGTCTGCCACCCAAAAGCTGAAGTCAATAAGACCTTTTCTAACTATTTTCACTGCATTACCGCAGTAGGGTAGGACTAGAACGGAACATATGCAAACCATGCGAGTAGTCCACCCAATAAATCGCACCCATCCTACCCCAGGGGAGGACATCCTTCAAACAGTAATCTCGTGCGCTTGACACAAGGAGATTAAACGCGACTTTTATTCATCGAACTCCTTCGGTTTCTGTTGTGAACTTTACGGTTGAAATGTCCAAATTCGAGGGATTTGTAAAGAATAAGCGAAAGTTTATTTATAGAAGAACTCAAAACTTCGCTCACCGTTTCACAAACGAACCAATTGAGTTGAAGAATTCAGGTACTATCTAATGAGAGTCTAATCTCTTAACTGCAACTAACTCTCGTTTGAACTTTCTGAGTTACTTTTTGTGAAGGATTATTATTATTATTATTATTATTATTATTATTATTATTATCATTAAAGAGTTTTTAGGCCGCGTTATAATCTTTTCCAAAAGCCTCATATGTTTTCGAATGAGTCCTGGGTACTGATAAATACCTGAGATGCGGCAGGTTTTCTGTTTTTGATGCGAGACACATGTTCTGCAATACTACCTTCTAGCATCATTATAAAACTTCTAGTCCTTTCCAATGCTTCAAAAATTGTGCTATACCAGTAGCCAAATCCAGTCTTTGACTGTCTATTTTTTGGCTTAATGACCAAAGTCCTAGTTTATTCGAGGCATAAAGCTAGGTTCTAAAAAAAATACACTCCTCCGTATTACCTACCAAATCGGGAGATTAGATCAAAATTGTTGAGCATGTGGACCAATGTACTTATTATTCTTCCACAGATTCTCCATGCACCTACGACTTAGGATTTTGCGGTTGGAGGACATTCAATGACACGATTCTTGGAGAGCCTAACATCACCAAGACATGGAAAATCCACGCTAGGTGGCCATTCTACATAGACGACTTCACTTATTTGCATTACAAAGGTACGTTTTGAAATCAGCTCACGCTTTCTCTAGCACAAAGATTGATATGCTAACATCCACATCAGTCAAGTTTAGATATACCTTGTCTTGGTACGAACCCTTTTTTGCTCCTTAATCGTACCTATTTTGTTCAAAGAAAAGTCAGGATACTTTTTCGGAGAAAAGCGGAATCTATATGTAAAGAAGTTAGAGAGATTATCACAATCAGTCAGTCAATAGCTTACTTAGGAGCTTGTCCACGGAAATTTAAAACTGGGCAGATCCGGGCAGGGGCGATAATGGTCAAATCACCGATTTGGGTTAGACTTGGCATGAATGCTAAGTATCACGAGTTAACAAATGAGTGAAAATAATAGGTCAAAATATCTAATTTACTAGGAGATATAGGGTCCCCTGGGAAAACCCCCATTTCCTGCATTGCACCATTTCCTGCAGCCAGGAATGGCACATCTGCTAAGTCTTGGTACTCAGCATTTGTGCCAAGTTTGAGCCAAATCGGCGATTTGAGTATTATTGCCTCCTGCCCAGTTTTCTCGGAGACAAGCTCTTAATCAAATCATATTTTAGGCCGATCTACTCAGTTTCTAAACAACCATAAAGCGATAATTAACTTATCCCAGAAGATCTGGTGTTATCTAGCCAACGAGAAAATTTAAACGAGCTGTGACCGGTTTGTTTTTCAGGAAAGGTTCTGTTAGCTGGTTCGGACTATTACTGGGATCTAACTGGTGGCTTAGCAGCCATGATCAGCCCTCCAATCACAAAACAGTCCCAGTTGTGCTCTTTTGTTTATTTCTACCGCCTAAGTGATGGAGATGCTACTCTGTCAGTTTACATACAAACAGGTTTGTTCGTAGTTTTACTGAATTAAAAAATAAAAATAAAAACAAGTGCCAGAATCACCGGTTTTCCACTTATATTTTCTTTTTCCTTTTGTTTTCCATCGTTTAAGGAACCTTTCCCAAGATTGACCACAGGCTGATGTGGAGGTCTACGGACGACTACGTTTGGGATTGGAGAAAGGTGGTAATTGACCTTCCTAGTGACATTGATGAGTACAGACTGTTGCTCGTAGCCCGGTACAACTCGTCATCTTATTACCACTCAAGAAACTACGTCGCTGTCGATAATTTACTACTAAGCGGCTGTTCAGTCAAAGGTAGATCGTTCTTGTCTCTTCTTTGGAATATTATGTTCTGTTATCGCCAATGAATGATTTGAAGGAATGTTTTGGCATTATGTATTGATAAAGAATTCTTTTCTGTCCTCTATCCACCGCTGTACTTAAACCACTTGTGTTTTTTCTAAATTCATTGCTCTCATAATCATTTTTATTGTCAGATAATACGCGTTCTTTCTTGCAGAACATCGCATATCTAACAGCGTTTTCAGTGGAAACCTACATCAGGCCATACATTACGCTTCTGCCACTGGTAGCAGCGATAACCCACCTTATTTAACAATTGAAAGGTGCAAAGTCACTGAAGGTTACTTCTCAAACTTGAATCCAAAGACTTCTATTTCCTTGGACATTCATGATATAACATTTGCGATTACCAACAACTTCATCTCCGACAACCGCTTCGGAGGTATAACCGTGCAGTCAGGTCAAGCCGAAGGAACAAGCTCATCAAGAAGCCTAGTATTTGGTAATACGCTTTCCAATAATGAAAACGGAACGATACTCGAACTGAGAAAACAACGGAATGCAGCTAACTACAGCTTAATTCATATCAAGGACAACACATTTGAAAGTAATTCGGGATACGGTATTAGGATCGTGCAAGTCTCTGATGAGGCATGCGAAATCGTTAACAATTTTCTCTACAATAACTCTGGGTTGCACATATTAGATTATCAATTTTATAGTCCTTGGCAGAAGGGACAAGAAGGAAGGTGTGAATTAAACACTTTCTATCACAACCAAGGTTTCCTTACTGTCAATTCCAACGGACCAACGGTATACCGAAGAAACATTTTCGAGAATCCGTCTATTATGTACGAGTTTCGCTCCACATATTGGCCAGTTACTAACCCAATTGATGCTTCGCAGAATTGGTGGGGCAGTGGAAACGAATCTTCAGTTTCTTTGCGTATCTACGACAAAAATGATTCGTACAGACTGGCAGCTGTGGAGTAAAGACCTGTTCAAAAATCACCACCTTCTAACCTCTTAACAGGTAAATATCAGCTTTATCTTTAAAAAAGTTTTAAGCTCTTTCGTACATAACTCCAATGCGAAATTTTGATGTCACGGTTGGATGTGAGCCAAGTGCAACAGAGTGCTTCAACTGTGGACAAGATGTTTAGTGCTAGTAATATAAAGAATACTAAAAACCCTACTCTGTCCCGTTCATTTGAATGTGTACATGTCCTTAAGAGAGGATCAAGCCTTAAGACCTCTAGATACAGACGTACTCCAAAGCAAGTCAGGCCAGATGGGCCAGTTGATCAGAGTGGACATTTTATGCTACCTCATCTTGAATGAATAACACCAAATCAAGCTCGTGTGTCGCTTTACTATTTAAGTAGAATAAATGCATGCTGTATGGAATTTGCAAAATTCGCGACACAAAAAGGGTCGTTCTTGAATTATATAGTATAAGGCTTGTTTTTAATCCCGACTGTGCAATTATTTTTGGTCATGTAAATGAGATCTATCCTCTAGAGCACCCCTTACCTCTTTTTTTCCTGACGCTAGGTACAAAAAAGCAGTGGAAAATAGGTAGGATGCAAGGATGGAAATAAGTAGCACTCAACCAGTGCTTACAGAAAAATTACTTTGTTGTTCCCTTGTAGATGACTGTCCGCTTGGGTGGATTAAAAAGGGTCAGACGTGCTACGCTTATAGAGGTGGGAGTAGGACGCTACAAGAGGCCAAGAATTATTGTAAGGTAGGAGTTATATGTGAATCTTATTTTATCTCACAAATACTCTCCTAACGCAAGACTAACCAATCTACAAATATGGAAAGCGTACGTGTCAGCTTTAAATTAAAAGGGAGCTAAAAATTTAATAAAATTTAATAATTTAATTTAACGTTTTCAATAAAACAGTTATTCCACTCGCGCTTGTTGGATATGACAATGTCGAGGTTAAATAGCCGAGTGCGTACAAAGGCATTATTGTCCACTCAGTAATTCACATTTTTCAGTTTCTTCTAGGTATAAGCATGCCAGAAAATCATAATCAGTTTGTCACCGACTGCACCATCCTCATACCTGACAAGTATTTTTTGCATACCATGCCCAGACTTTTTCGTTATACATAAGACAATTTCGTAAAAACAATTACTTCATTTAGAGCAGACAAAGCCAGTTACTCTGTGCGAATTAGGAACAGCTATCCACCTTGTCTACTGTAGATATTGCTATATGCACTATCTACTGCAACTGCAACTTTATTTGCAGTATCCTGCTGTAGACAAGGTACATAGCTGTATTGATTGTAAGCAGAGTAAATAGCTGTGTCTGCCAGAGATATTTTTGATAGCTATACTGTTAGAGATAACTTGGATCGCTCTATCTACCGTAGAGAGTGGAGATGGCTTCATATGCTGCAGATAGAGTGAGTGCCTGTGTCGCTTACCGGAATTGTAAATAGCAAACCTACTGTAGACGGTGTAGATTTGCCTTTTCCACCTGAGACAGTGTTTCTGTAGTGTACATTAAGGACTAAAGGTGGTTGCACATGAGTATAAAATACATGAATTTTGAAACAATATGCTGTTTTATCATGAGATATATACCTTTGTTTGCTGCCACATTATTGATTATCAAATATCTCTTTGCTGAAGGTCTATGGAGGACATGTGACACCCACCCATTTATTAGAGGATATGGAACTAATCAACTTAGTGATGAAAACAAAAAGACCAGATGGAAAACCGAATGCTCCTATATGGATTACAACAGAAGAAAACGAAGTGAGTTTCCTAGTGATATTTGGTCAAAACTATCTCTTTTTTCTTGTAATACTGTTGATGATTCCTACTTTGATTCTCAAATTTTCCCTTGACAACTATGTTTGAATACTGCAGGAAATTAAAATTTTTTTTTTTTTTGGTGAGATGGTTAAAGTTGGTATCATTGTGGATATTTCCAGACCAAGAGGAGAGCCCATAGTTTACTTAGATTTAGCTTAAGTTTAGAAATATTGAGAGCTTTTTGCTTACCTGTTTTTTTTTAGTCCTTTGGGTCATCGGCTTAGTTTTGTTCTCTCAAATTCTTAGAACGTGTAGAAAGGGTATACTTTTGACAACAAATGCTAAAAGAAATCTTTGGCATTTAAACAGGATTGGGATGATCTACATTGCACCGTAGTAACACCTGATGGACTTCAAACAGTGGTTTCCTGTGACAGTCTCTATCCCTTTGTCTGCGCGAGGGCTGGTGAGTAGCTAGGTGCTTCTGTTTGATTTAGTCGGTGCAATTGCCAACTTTTTTACACGCGGTAATTGTTCTTTTCATTTCGTGATAATCTCTTTAAGTCAACAATCAACATCTTTGTTTTTTTTTAGCCCTTTTCCTGTTCTCATTCGATATCGCTGACATGGTGTTTAACGTTGCCATATGTACAGTGTGCGTACTGTTCCAATCTACCCAAAGAGCTGACCACTTTTAGAGGTGGGAGCTCGGGGAAAATACAGAGGTTGCAACCTCTCCCAATGATGTGCTCATGGTCAAAAGCCAATTTGTCGACCCATCCTATTCATTTCCTTTGAAATTGTGCATTTGTTGCTGATTTGAAGGACGTCAGTTTTTTAAGGTCATCTCGTACCTTTTGAGGTGGTTACCTCTAGTTACTCTCTCGTTCTCTACTTCATATCTATTTTTCTGATGTTCAATTTCAGTGTTGCAGTGCTTTAGCTGTATCCCTAACACAACCATGGTGCCACCATTTCTTTGCGATAAGCCCACAGACTATGCTATGGTGAACTGTCACAATAGTACATCATGTTTGATCACCACTTTAACGACGTCTACGAACCAACCGATGCATATAATGACTTGTGGTGAGGTAAGCACAGTTATGTATCATCCCTAGCAGTGAACAGTAATGCGCTCAACACTACCAAAGGACTTCCCAACAGTTTCTTAACGAAGGACCATCACCTCTGAGTTGCATTCCATATTTCGACCTTGTGTTAAAATATCCTTTTATTATCTTACTGCACTACGCCAGTAGAACACAAATAATCCGTAATGTTTAGACAATTGGTCATTTTTAGATGTATGAAACTCATTCAAATGCGGATAGATAAATCAGTTGGATAATAAAGGACTTAGTAGACATTTTCATGTTTGTATTTTCAACCATTGTTTGTAACTTGACTCACCCTACGGGCTCGTCAAAACGCGGCACAGCTCGTAAAAATATATACCCAGCGAAACTAAACACCAAAACGTCCAATAACATATTTCTAATGTTCTCTCTTACAGGTAATCGCTCCCAACTCTTCAGTTTTGAATTGTTCGGAGATGGAGAAATATGCGTGTGAAAACGTAATGTCAACGATACTAAACAGCTCAGAAGTAAACTCAGTCTCATGCCGATCAGTCTGCTGTGAGGAAACCAAGTGTAATGTTAAGGACTTTGGTGTTACGGACCCACCAGCAACCACTCTTACACCAACTACCGAAGCACCAGGTAATAGAGGTAATTCAATTGCACCGGGTGGAATTCGAGTGATGCCTTGTACTACTTGAAGTGTGAAACGCTGAAACATTGCCAGAAATTTGAGATAATATGATGGAGGCGGTTCTCGTGTTACAAGCAAAATGGCGCCGACACAGTATAAGAAAATGTATGGGAAAAAGATCGTTTTTTTTTCAAAAACAGCCGTCTAAGAATGGGATATTTTTTCACTGCGTAGTTGCAATTGGAAACGCAGCCTGCATCGGTCAAAGCGTCCATAGCTACGAAAAAGAAATACTCAAATTCAAGCCTACCTTTTCCCAAGGTATACGAGTAAACTCATAATTCTGACACCATTTTCCCATACAAACTCTTAAAATCTGCTTCGACTAGGTGTCACAATTCTTTTGTCGTGGGAACAACCTTGTGAAGGCTAGCAATTGCGTAGCTCGATATGCATTCTGCAGAAGTTTGCTCATCTAAATCGGTCGCAAACGGTCGAATATGTTGGTCCACAAAGTTCCTTGAGCCGGGAGACTCTTCGTATTTTCACAGAGCTCAAAAGCCCAATATGCCATTTTATTACGCGACTCGGGCAGTCAGAGGGCCAATAACTAAAATCAACCAATCAGAATGCTCTATTTCCGGTCAATATTCTCTCAGTATTGGACCGGGCACTGTCCCGAATGGTCCCGAATGATACCGCACTTGTGTCCCTTNCAAATCTTCCTTGAGCCAGGAGACTCAGACTCTTCGTATTTTCACAGAGCTCAAAAGCCCAATACGCCAGTTTTAAATACCCCAATTTTAGGAAGGAAGAACACGAAAGATACAAGTCCCTGTAACTGCACAATTTGGCCGCCATTTTCCTTGTTTTGACGTCTCCTTTGGCTTTCTGGGATAGTAAGATACCAGGCCTTTCTCTGGCGGGGTTTTTTTTTACGAAAATGGAAAGTTACGTGTTCACTTCACTTCCACCGCCGCCATATTGAATTGTCTGTAATACGATATACCGCTGATATTTCGTAACGGGCCCGAAACGTCCCCGATTTCTGGTGATGTCTAGGCTTTCGCCGATCAACGTCTTTATTACGAAGGCAATGATTGTGTACGGTTAAGAAAGTGTAATTTCTCACTCGAATTCCATTGCCATCATTGAAACACTTAAGGACCACATGCGCATACAGCATCGGATTTGGGTGTTAATAAAATGCCAGAGGAACCGACTTTGATAACTTGGTCGCAAAAACTTTGTCTAAAGCATCCGTTGAAAGGCTAGTAGGCCAAGACTATGGCTTTTCATCGGTTTTTGCAGGTCACTTACTGTTCAGGAGTTTGTTGAAGAAAGTTTTAATCATTAAACTTTGATTCCACAAACAAGGTCTACCGATTGGCTGGAGTGACCTTGATTTATTGCCGATTAGAAGGACGTCGGTTTGTAAAGATGTATCGTACCTTTAGGTGGTTGGCTCTCGTTAAGATCTCGACATGCTATCAAATATCAGAAGTATTTAGAAACACTTTTCTTTCTATTTAGTCTCAGCCTTGAAGTGCTTTAGATGTGCTCCAAACACAACAATGGTGCCACCATTTCTATGCGATGATCCCGCAAACTATACTGTGGAGCTCTGTGATAAAAGCACATCGTGTTTGACCACCACTTTAACGACGTCTACAAACGAACCCATATATATGATGGCTTGTGGAGAGGCAAGCACAGTTATGTAGCTTCCTTAGCAGTGAACAGTAATTCCCATAACAATACAAAAGGACTGCCTAACGGTTTCTTAACAGGGGACCATCATCAACGAGTATTTGAATTCCATAATTTGGCTTTGAAAAATAAGATCCGTTCATTATCCAACTATGTTTAGCCAGAGTAGTTACAAATAACGCGTGATATTTAGACAGTTGGTCAGTTTTTGTATGAAACCTAGTCAACCGGTTGGCTACGCGTGATATACATCCACCGCCTTTTGCGAAATGCGCATGGATAAATCAGTTGGATAATAAAGGACTTATTAAACGTGTTGATATGTAATACCGCCGGCTGAGTATTTTCAACCATTATTTGCATTTTGACCCAATCCACGGGCTCGTCAAAATACGGCTCGGTTCGGAAAACTACTTGGCGATACTACACACCACAAAATGTCTAATGAGATATATTTCTAATGTTCTCCCATACAGGCAATCGCTCCTAACTCTACGGCTTTGAATTGTTCGGTGATGGAGAAATATGTGTGTGAAAACGAAATGTCAACGATGCTAAACAGCTCGGAAGTAAACTCAGCGTCTTGTCGATCAGTCTGCTGTGAGGAAAACAAGTGTAATGTTAAGGACCTTGGTGCTACGGACCCACCAGCAACCACTTTTACACCCACCACGGAAGCACCAGGTACCTGCAGTAATTTAATGGCATCGGGCAGGAATTCGAGTCAGGCCCTGAACTACTATAAGTATGAAGCGTTAAAATCTAGACTTTCGCCGATCAACGTCTTTACTACGAAGCCGTTGATCGGTGAAACTCGGGTTTTAACGTTTAGTTTTTAAGACCTCGCTCGAATTGCAGTGAATATCATTCAAAATGCACTGAAGGACCAGAGGCACAAACAGCTTCGGACTTGGGTGTAGATAAAAACTAAGAGCAGCCGATGGAAAAGTAGAAGTCCCTGGAATTGTTACCACAATTTTTCGATGCTATAGTTCTTGTGGTCATTTTTCTCATTTGTGTAGTTGCGTTTTGTGCGTACAAAAAGTAGGTGTTCATGTGGCTGGTCCTTGATTCCTTTTTTAGAAACATGTATGTTATTCTCTTTGTGTATTTATTTCATTCATATACTCATGACTATCATTTGCATATTTATTCATGGACTTATGAAGATATCTGTTTATTTATTTTTTTATAAGTTCATTTGGTTGCCTATTCACGCGTCTTTAGCATTGTAGAGCCAGACCAACAAACGCTATATGAAGTATTGAGTAGTGCAGTGGTATCCAAATTGAAACGGGGGAAATTTATTTTCCTTTGTACCACGCTTTGCACTCTCGGGAAATGCTTCACTGTGCATCAAATGATCGAAGCATTTACATCTCTGTGGCATAACTTTGTCCAGTGGGCCAAGCGTGTGGCTTTTCTTTAATTTCTGCAGGTCATTTACTCTACTAGGGTTTGTGTGTGCTTTTAAAGGCAGAAAATGGAGCTACGTTAGCACACACAACCCACAATTCCTCTATTCGCTCCGACGAAGGGCTAACCCTTGAAACGTCAATTTAATTTCTGCAGGTCATTTACTCTGCTAGGGTTTGTTTAAGAAATAATTTGAATATATCAACAAAGTTGAAATGGTAAATTGGCCACCGTTACGATTATAAAAGAATAGAGGAATTGTGGGTTGTGTGTGCTTTTAAAGGCAGAAAATTGAGCTACGTTAGCTACGTTAGTTCCATTTTCTGCCTTTAAAAGCACACACAACCCACAATTCCCCTATTCGCTCCGACGAAGGGCTAACCCTCGAAACGTCAGCTTTTATAATCGTAACGGTGGCCAATTTACCATTTAAACTTTGTTGATATATTCAAATTATTTCGTTACCTCCACCGACGCAGCCCCAAACAGTTTCTTTAGAAACTATCAGCCTTTATTCATTTCTTTAATAAAGTCCTGATTTAAAAACTATGATTCTACAAACTAATTTTACCTAATAGCTGGAGTGACCGAGCCTGGCAAACCTCCTGGAATACGTGCCTTCGAGTCCAAGGTACGTGTACACGAAGTTTGCTTTCCGAACAGGTTGACTTCTGATTTCTTCAGACAAGAAACTGGAAGCAACATCTTTTCCACAGTGCTTTCATAACTTGTTGGCTTCAATATATGAATGCGCCAGGGTGACATAGCAGAGTGGACTCACGATGAAAACCCGGAATTGTCTCCCGGATTTCTCGTAGCTTATCTCCATGTGAATGATGTTATCACTTTAAAAAAGCATGGTCTCGCATTATTGAACATGATAAAATAGCGCTTCAAAGTTGCTCACTCCTTCTTTGTATTGTTGGAAAGACCCGGCAAAAGATAAATCTTTCGGAAGGTAAAAAGTTCTTGTTAGTTCAGGGCTATTTGCACATTTGATAACTTACTAACATTATTTTCTGTTCAAGCATTCAGGTACATTTTTTTGTTTATTACTGAGCTGTTATGTCACCATTCCAAGTCCTTTCCATAAAAGTGCTACTCAATTCCTCTTTCTTTTATGAACGAGTTTTGACTGCTGATTATCTGGATAAAGACGTAAGTACTTTTACTAAAAAAAAAAGGTAAGTATCAAAATCATGCTTCTTTTGAAAAGTTGTACCTTAAATTTCCTAGACCCCGTTCGCAACACACCTGGCATTGACACATCTCCTTTGAAACGATAGATAACCTTTTCCAGGCGTTCAAATTTTAAAACAAACCTCAATAATAAACAGTGCTATGGTAGCCGAGATGTGAGAAAAACGAGAGGTTTTGGGAGAGTCGCGTAATGCCTGACCCGACCCCAAAAAATGATACGTAATACTTCTGCACTATGATGATCCAAATAAAGATGGCAGATTTTAAGCCTGTTTAACGCCGTCAGGGAACAATCTACTTAAAAAGAACAATTGCGCCATGTTATACTGAAAAGGCTTTTATCAAAGCAGGAAAGTCTTACACCATTATCGTTTTTGCTAATTTTTTTGATGCTCTTACAAAAATAATTTAAGTTAAGCTACCGCTACTGACGCCGATTCAAACAGAGCCTGGATGACTTTGAATCCGGGGGGGAAGATACTCCCTTATAAGGGCTTAATGGGGACGTGCGGCCAGCCAGGGTATGTTTTTCGAGATTTTTGTCTTAAACAGGGTAT